ATGGGACACGGTCAACTCGCCAAGGGCGACTCGCCACCGACCGACTAGCCAATGGGACAACTCGCCAACGCGACAACTCGCCAACGGGACAACTCGCCAACGCGACAACTCGCCAACGGGACAACTCGCCACCGCGACAACTCGCCAATGCGACAACTCGCCAACGGACGACTCGCCACTGCGACAACTCGCCAACGAAATATTTTTATCTGTTTAATGTGTCATACAAATGCATCCCACAAATGCAATAGTCAATTTCCCTAATTTTGTAAAAAAAGTTTATCGAAAAATTGTAGTCAATATTTGAATGAAGACCCAACCGCCTATACCTGTTTCTATTACTGCATTTTGATATAACGACATCTTCTGCAAATTATTATTTGAATAGAAAATTTGACAATCACATCGTTATTTGAACGACACATTAAACAGGGAAAAATATTTCGTTGGCGAGTTGTCGCAGTGGCGAGTCGTCCGTTGGCGAGTTGTCGCATTGGCGAGTTGTCGCGGTGGCGAGTTGTCCCGTTGGCGAGTTGTCGCGTTGGCGAGTTGTCCCGTTGGCGAGTCAGTCGGTGGCGAGTGGTCCGGTGGCGAGTCGCCCTTGGCGAGTTGACGCGTTCACCGAAAGTGGACTTCATAAACGTCAATATAAAGACTGGTATAATTGAAAAATAATATTCCCTAAAACAATTCAATTCAATTGCCTTCTAATGGTGTCAAAGGCCTTCAAATTCTCAAAATGTACTGAAGAATATGGAAAACGTGTTTGAACCATTGTTTAAACGTAGGTTCGAGACGTAGGTATTTTTGTTTTGTAACTATTTTTATGTAACTTTTAAAATTTTATTTCCACTGTCATTCTTGTTTTGTTAACAACCTACCATACGTACTATTTGCAGCCATTGTTTTAAATACTATATTATGTATTTGTATCATTTTCATGGATAACTAGATTAAAATGAAAATAATTCAAAAATGTTGGTTACCTCAAGTACTTTTGCTGTAGTGCATTTAGAAATTTTGTAGAGAATTTAATAACCTGCGATATAAGATAACAATATACAGGATGTTCCATGAAAAAGGAGTCACATTTTTGTAGTTATCTCAAATACATAAATTGATAAATACACAATTTCAGTGAGTTAACCGTCTTTCTAACTCTACTACTAAGAAAGTTAGCAATAATGCCGACTTAATTTGAAACAGCCTGTATATTACCAAAATAAAGCGAATCTACCTAATTGAATATTGCAGAAATGGGGAAAAAATGAAGCGATCGCAAGACAGAAACAGGTGTATTGTTCCGTGTGAAAATGTATTTCACTAGGTAAAAAATTTGGTTGAAAAGCATTGACAATAGACTGCCCATTCAGTAGTTTGTTGCAGAAGAAGAAGAATATTAACCGTTGTTGGCCATGCATACATTAGAAGCATCTGTTGTCATGTATATAACTTACTATTACAGAGACGAAACCGCGAAAAGGTATTTAAATCTGCTATCCATGGCGCATTCATTTAAAACCACAAAGAATACTGCGATTAAAAAATTTCGTAGCATACTCGAAATCATGTGCGTTTCTGAAAGCTTTCAACAAAGGATACGTGACATCTTTTGCATTTGCAGAAAGCGACTTCAGAGGATTTTTTATTTCAGTCGTAGATGATATATGTAGTTTCATAGGTCATATTTAAAGTAACACTATTTGGCAATTTTTAGCGCATTTACACAATAAAAAAAAATGCGCTATTGTGGCCACTTTGTCCGTCCGTCCGTCCGCTCGTTTTGCGACGCTACTAGTTCTTTATCTTAAGAGCTATTGTTCTACTTTTTTCACTATTTGGTTCGTTATGGTGTCGAGTCTTGTACCAAGGAAGGAATTTTTTCTGTACCGTTTACAAAAATAGTTATTTGTTTCATTAGTACAAAAAATGTCAGTTTTCGGGACGAGGAAGATAGTTGCTGGACGACGCGTCAGCGGAGTCCAGCAACCTTCCGAGTCCCGAAAACGCATTTTTTGTACGAATAAAACATAAAATTTTTTCTCCAACCCCCTTTACTTCAAATTATATTCGAATTTAGATTCAGTCACAGTTTCACTACTATAGTATAAGAATTTCTGCTTTCTTGTCCTCACGTGTCATGCCACTCTAGTTTTTAGGTTAACTTATAACCTATTCGTTCTTACTTCTTACTTCTCACCTCTCGCGACTTTGTAGGGAGCAAATCTTGAGGTAGCATGTTCTGCCGTTTCTATAATCTCTGGCGGAGTGCAATCCATGTCGCTATCAGTTTCAGTCATTTCTAATGCATACACAATTAATATTGTTATATTTGTATTGAAATAAAAAACTTACCATACAGTTTTTTAATTAAAATTAATTGCAATTAACTTTTTCAAATTTTGAATTCAAAATGACAGATAATAGTGCAATGTGTCTTAAGTAGATGGCGTTACGCGCGACGGCGGGTTGTATACGTATTAAAATTACGTTCACCGAATATGTAAATTACGTTACACATGGTTTAAATAAAAATAGCGAGCGTAAATCATTTTCAATACATGTACAAACGTATAGGTAACAGCATTATTTGCATTGAATATGCAAAAATATTTGATTTGTATGTATAGAAATATCTTACAACCTGCAATGTAAACCGATGTCAATGTGACATATCTCCGTGATTGTAATTTTTTAATTGGTCAACTTTCAAGGTCAATTTCTTTTTGGTACTAGGACCAAAAGTATCCACTTTTTGTACAGTTGCCATGGTGAAAGCGATTAATCCGCAAAACGTCAATTTTACGTACCGAAGACCGTCACAAAATAGCGTCTTATTCAGGTGGTTGGAGAAAAAAGTTATTGTAAAAAAAAAACAAAAAACCGTTTGTTACATGTTCCATAATTTTACACTTTTGCCGTTTATTAACGATCCTAGAGATCGTTTATAATTTTGCATTGCTATCTGTCGTCTGCCTGTTGGTCTGTCCGTTTGTTCCTTTGTCTGTCTGTCCATCTATCTGTCCGTGTGAACGATAACTTTGTTTAGAAATGTCCGATCGCTTTTACATCTCCGTTAGTTATGAACTGAATTGCATGAAATTCAATATGGGCATAGCTTTAGCCATATAATATGCAATGCCAAAAGTTGAATCGAATCGATTCAAAATTCACAGTGCCCTTTTCGCATCTCGACCATTTATAAACCGAATTGCAAACTTTTTTAATTATAAAAGTATTTAAATGAAATTTTATACATAGTCACTTGGAATAAAAGCAAATTTAACGCCAGTTTCAAAATTTGGTTTTGCGCATGCGCAGTGCCAACTTTCTTATTTATGGAGGGATTTAAATGAAATTTGATACATAGCCACTTGGAATAAAAGCAAATTTAACGCCAATTTCAAAATTTGGTTTTGCGCATGCGTAGTGCCAACTTTCTTATTTATGGAGGGATTTAAATGAAATTTGATACATAGCCAATTGGAATAAAAGCAAATTTAACGCCAGTTTCAAAATTTGGTTTTGCGCATGCGCAGGCCAACTTTTTTAGTTATGGACGCATTTAGATGAAATTTTATACATAGGCAGTTGGAATAAAGGAAAAGCTAATGTCAGTTTCAAAATTTAGGTTTGCGCATGCGCAGTTCCAACTTTCTTATTTAGAAAATCATTGAAATGAAACTCTTCTTATAAACTGAAATTGAAGTAGCACGTCAAAAATGGATTGCACATGTGCAACGCTATCTTTCATATTTGTGGCCGGATTTTTACAATTTTAACAAAAGTTGCATCTTACAAATAGGAAATGAATACAAGTGGAAATGCGCTTTATGTAAATCGTTTACGATTACTTTTTAACTTGTTAAAGCTCGGTGTGCTTGAATCATCTGTTTTCGCACGCTTAGGAGCGTTTTAAACGGAGGTTCTGATACAGGTATAATAATAGTTATTTATTATACAAGACGATAAAGGGATGTTTTAACATGGTTAGTTCTCCGTTCTCCCTTATCGTCGGTTATGTATTTAAAACTTTATTTTATAGCAAAAGCTATATAAATTATCATAAAACTTCTGAAAATTCAGAATTTATGTCAGTCGTCAAAAATAGCAAGCTTAGGTTCTCCCGTGATTTCCATGGAAACAGGGGTATTGCTTTCTGTTCTGAACTTTATGTTTTTACGTCCTCCGCTGCTCATTTTTAATAGCAATGACAGATGTCATTAGAATGTATCATTTGTTTCACTGTATCTAACCTTACTGTTTTTTTTTGGTTTATGGGCATCGGCAAGGACTTAAGTTATAACTTATTCAATACACTGATGCTTCGCATAAAACCTGTGTTTACACATGCATTTCTTCTTTTAAGGTTATCTTCCCAATTCTACGCGTTGTGCGTCGTATATTGCGCGATCACAAAGTATATGCTCCACCGACAAGACAACCTTGCATCTCCCACACTCCGGAGCGTTCTTGTCAACCAGCAAAACCCTATGTCGATTTTCAAATAAAGAATTTTCACGGTACCGTCCACATCCGCTATTTCTTTCATACAAGTGCAAATAACTTAAAAACCACGGGCATAAATTTATTAAAGTAGAATCCAAAATCCAATAAAAAATAGGGGCGGAGGTCTAGGTGTCGAAATATTTATTCAAAGCTTTGAGAAACATTTTTCAGATAGAAAGTGCTTTATTATTCCATTCTCTACTAATGGTTTTCCATTCTTCTGGTATTTAGTTGTAGACTAAAGTTATATGGATTATTTTCTAATAGTGACAACTTGTGGGTTGTGTATTCCAGATGGTGTTCATAACGCGTGTTGTTCAACACCTTAAATTTCTTAATATTGTACACAAATTACACAAGTTGAAATAGAAATAGACACGAAGT